CCTCATCCCGGCCCTAAGGAGCCACGAGTCTCAGTGTCCCCGTAACGGCTGCAAGCACCTCTGAGGGAAAGCCGCCCTCAAGATCGCCCGCTGCCAGACAGTCCAGTTTCTCCCCGTATGAGTCCTGGGTCCCCAGAGACTTCCCGGAACTGGAGTTCAGAGCCGTAGGGAGCTTGTGACTCCCTCCGGATTCAAAAAGACAGCCGCGTCCTCAGGTGCCAGACCCTTTCCGCGAGCACGAGCCCCCTACCTCTGCACTTTACTTCCGCAGCTCCTCTGGTTCTCAGTGTGCTTTTCTTTCCTTCTAGTTGTAGAATTTACACTCAGCCAGCCTTCCTGTGGTTCTGGATGATGTCCGTATTGTGTTTTTGAGGTATTATTCAATTGTTGTGAGAGGCAGCAATTTCCCGGTGTTTATCTATGCCGCCATCTTAGTTTCTCCTTAAATAGCCTTTCAAAAATTCTGAAATGTATCTCCTTGATCCTGATTGGTCCAGTTTGGGTCATGTGTCCCAAAATGATGGAATATGCCAGCTGGCTTAGCACAGGTCAAGATCTCCATCTTTATGAGGAAAGCAGCTGAGACAAGAGGCAGAGAAAGAATGGTTCCCCAGAGTGAAATCAGGGTAGCTTTACCACAAGTTGCGGGGAGAAGATGCTGGTCGTTAATGGTGGCCAAGATAACAATTGTGCTCCATAGCAACCCCAAAAGGTTGTCTCAACCTCTTTCCATCAAGCTGAAAGCCCCACCCTTGATGTCTGAGAAGCCCATGTAGATTTACATTCTGGCTCTAAATTCCTGCTTTACTGAATTTGTTCAATTTATAGACCATCTCCCTGTCCTGTGTCAGCTTTCTCCCATCTGGGCCAAGTCTTTCCAGACATTGCTGTTTTCTCACTCCTGCTCCAAAGACACGCACAGGGGATATGTAGTTGATTGGGATTCTGCTGAAGAGATTTGGAGGGCAAAGAAGGAGGTTTACCTCACAGGAATGAAGAGTTCAATTTTAACTTCAGACACCCTTATAATTGTACTAGGGCCCCAGTGCATGAGGGGGTGTCTCCCATGTCCAACTCCAACTGCTGGCTTAGGCCCACTCCCCAGGACCCCTTACTCCTTATCACCTGCCTGCTCTCTGATCCTTGGCGCTGTCACCACCACCACTGCACTCACCAGCCATGAGCGCAGCTTCTGACTGAGCAGCGCTCCCCCTGTGGGAGCACACTGACCACCAGGGGGCAGCTCCTGCATTGAGCATCTGCCCTCTGGTGGTCAGTGAATGTCATAGCTACAAGTCGTTCCGCCATTTGGTCGATTTGCATATTAGGCTTTTATTATATACTAGAGGCCTGGTGCACGAAATTCATGCATGGAGTGAGGGGTTGTGTCCCTCAGCCCAGCCTGTACCCTCTCCAATCTGGGACCCCTCTCACAATCCAGGACTGCTGGCTCCCAACTGTTCTCCTGCCTGCCAGCCTGATAACCCCCTAACTACTCCCCTGCCAGCCTGATCGATGCCTAACTGCTCCCCTGTTGGCCTGATTGCCCCTAACTGCCCTCCCCTGCTGGCCATCTTGTGTCCACATGGGGTGGCCATCTTGTGTGTTGGAGTGATGGTCAATTTGCATATTACCCCTTTATTATATAGGAGGATTTTAAAATTTTTATCATGGTGAAATCATAAAATTAACCACTTCAAAGTGAACAATTTAATGGCATTTAGTACATTCATATTGTGCAACCACTATCTCTATCCAGTTCTAAAAAATTTGTCACTCCAAAATAAATGCCCATTTATTCTCATTCTCTAATCATGGGGATTTCTCCCATGTTGCTGTCTCCTCTTCTTTCCTTCTTCCTCACTACTCCCAGACTGCCCCTGGGATTCATCAATGTGTTGGTCAGGTTTAGATGCTGTTACAAAGAGACCCTGACAGAAAGGGAATAGCTTAAATCAGGGGTCCTCAAACTTTTTAAACAGGGGGCCAGTTCACTGTCCCTCACACCGTTGGAGGGCCGGACTATAGTTTTAAAAAAAAACTATGAACAAATTCCTATGCACACTGCACATATCTTATTTTGAAGTAAAAAAACAAAACGGGAACAAATACAATATTTGTATTTGCATGTGGCCCGCGGGCCGTAGTTTGAGGACCCCTGGCTTAAATAGTTCCTTTTCACCAGCCTCTCGGCCCCAGGTGCTGATCTCATTTGTGTGATGGAAGATGGGTCCTGCTCCTGTCCATATTCCAGCCAATGGGAAA